CGTCTATAAAGAACTTATCGAACCACTTTCTTTATTTGGAGGGCGAAAGTTCAACGACTTTGCTTCTAATTGCGGTATGCAGCATCTTATGTACGTATCTATATAATTATGTAGAATCTAAGTTGTTGGGAAATTGGTCCTTATAACTGAGCGATAAGGTTGTATTATTATTGATGTTTTCGCACATGCTTGTGCGTACGTTTTCATTTCTGTGAAGGCGTGACAGAATGTTGTCTACGGTCTACGGCGTAGCTCTATTTGCTACGAATACTACTGAATTGTCGTAGTCGTAGCATACTATGAGTTTTTTCTGTAATAATTTGGAAGGAAAATATTGAGTTGTAAGAGATATTAGATTAATAAAGATTACACACATGAAATAATTTAACTTAAGTTCAGCAAACGTACGTATTCAAATTGAATTTACCTTCTTCATGACACGTACGATATTTGAATCTGTGTACGTTCCAATCAGATAGTTGATTCAATAATTATATTAATTAAGATTCGACCGCCGTGACATTTATAATACAATTATACTGAATGCACGCAATTTGTATCATCCTGTATGCAACAAATTAAATTCTGATGGCGTCAATTAATATTCTCCAAACTGCTAGATTATAATATTCCGATAATATTTATATGTACGTGTTTCCTTTAATTATATTATTGTTATAATCTTTTATGATATTTGTACAAATATTTTGCAAGCTTCATATGTCTTTCTTAGATCCGGAATACTGATATGTGGGTCACAAAATCAAATCCGCAATATGCAGATTATAAATATAAATAATTGAAATTAAGTAAACATAAGTTCGAATAAAAAAAAAAATAGTAATTTATCTGCATACTACCTACCTAATATTCGAAAATTACTGACGTTTATACTCAAACCATTTTTTCAAGTTTAGAACAAGGTTGCCAGTTCGTTCGAAATTTGAAACGGGTATTTTGCGGGAGCGGCACACAGAGTGACGTAATACAAAGCTTTGTTGATGATGTTTGCTAAGTTCACATCATTCACAAACATGGAGGCCCCTGTTCAAACTGGTTTATAGTTGAAAAGCGTTTTTTTCTGGATTGACAAAACTAGATTTTAGATCCCTGGTATGGAATTTTGCCCTGTATTTATACTGTTATTTTTTGGTCTAAGTCGGCAATCGGTGCCGTCCATGGACGCCAAAGGAAAACAACAACACCAAAGTGCGTTGTTGGCTTTTCGTCTGTTGTTAGAGATTACGGGATTCGGACGATCGGGTCTCCAGTTAACTCATTCACACGCGAAACATAACACGAGCGTTGTTCCTTGCCCATATTTTGTGTGACCGTGGTATCATTCCCGTCGAGCCAGACAATGCCGAAGCATGTCTTTATATGATTATTATAACAGCGCTGTGTTTCGCCATGTTAGTAAGGTTACCGGAAAAATCCATCTTCCTAATCCCCTAAACCCTTCTCCAATTACTAAATTTTCAAAATCCTAATACAGAAAAGGTCGACGATGCACTCTTAACTCTTTCAGTGTTAGGGTGTCCTTGGGGGCGCTGACTGCTTACTATTAGATAACGGATCTGCTTGTTAGTTAGTTAGTTAACACATAAAATAAGGTTACTTAGAGTACAGAAAGTCACCTTCTACCTGAACCATATTTAGGTCGATTTATATTTTAGTATTATGGAAACTAAATACTCTGATATGTCTTTAAATAACACGTAAAAATTAATGTTTCTATTAATTTGATGATGGCTCTGTTTTGAAGAACGTACGAATGATTGAATGTAATGAAACAAAATCATTCAATCGATTTACGATCGAATGGAAGCCATTTAAAATGTAATCAGTTTCCCTTTGAATGTCAATGGGACTGGTAAAGGGTTTTTCAAGTGAAACTTTATATAGGATGCAACGGAATTGTTGTTCGGAATCGATATGAAAAATGTATTGTGAATCGAGAATCGAATATTGTGTTCGGTATAAACGATTTTTTACTTTATTGCCATTGCACTTTCGGGACTGAGCTGAACATCAGCCCATTGGTGGTGGTGTAATGACTCTTTAAAGCCCGCGTGAAACGCAATGCGCAGTTCGCTTTGGTCTGGTACTGGCTGCGTAGACGGAGTAAGGCTTTTAGTTCCTCACGATGGCTTCAACTAAGACTGGGTGCAAGAGGTCGCCCCGGCCAATCACTTCGGCGATGCTTAACCCAAGCAGAGCACACCGCCACCTTCACCGTGTCCCTACAGCGACGACTCCCGGTCGTTTCCTCCCACTGGATCCGTAACAAAACGCACATATACCTCTTCTGGTGTTGTTGGTATTAATGAGCGACACCAAATGATTACTATCAGGTGAACCGTCTGCCCAAATGGCGTGCAATCCCATAAATAAGTACACCTCTACCCCCTACCTAAGACTTGGTTTGCTAGATATCCAATAGTTACTCACAAGTATACATTTAAGACTTCTAACTGATATTTAAGAGCTTCACAAATGTTTGTGTAGCACTCTGAAAAGTTTATTTCTATTTCGTGCACGATTTTGAACAGCGAGACTTATCCTCGAGTCCCGAAGATTGCAATAACAGCTATGTGAAAAATTTTCTCGTATTTCTATTTCGAAAAGGTTGCATTGCCATCCGACTTGGCAACGCTGCCAGTCTTTTGGGCACCTAACCCCACGACGGCGTTGAGGATATAGGAGGTTTTCAATATTTAAATTTTATTTTATTTAAGTGCTTTGACACGAGTGGGTCGGGTCGGAGTGAGTGATTCAACGGCTTCACAGAAAACCGACATAAAACAACCACAGCTTTCAGTTTCGCCATGTGAGTGAAGTTACCAGTGGCCTAATCTCTACGCGTTCTCCCCTTCCTCCCGCCCGGCCCTGGGCGGGAGAAAAAACCCCTCCACTCACAAAAAAAAATCAAACCGAAATCCTTAAATATTCGAAACCCTTGAAAAAAATGGGTGTCCATGAGCGTCACCAATTACTCACCATCAGGTAAATTCGTCTGCTCGTTTGCCGACTTATCCCATAAAAGAATATTATTTTTAAAATGTAACCATTTTATGTTTTAGTAAAACTCTAATCTAACTTTATACATAAAATCATAAAGTCATAAAGTCGTCATCATTTATTAATAAATTAAGTTGAATTAAGTGTTCAGTATTTTGTTTTTAATTTTTAGAGCGCCTTCCTCCATCTGAACGCTTACTTTGGCTATTTAAAAGTCTGTATCAATCTTATTAATAAAGATTACTTCCTAGCAGTCTTAGGCGCAACAGAGGTCATCTTTGAGAGATTATCGACTTAAATCAATAAAATCCACAAACTAATCTATCAAAATATGAACCTTCGGTCTCAATATAACATCTCATTTTAGTCTAATTTACTATTGAAATTTGAGACAAATACGAATTATAATGTCGTAACATAATTATATTAAGTGTGGGAGAGCCATGCTTCGGCACGAATGGGTCGGCTCGACCGAATATTTATTTATTAAAAGTTAGTATAATGTCGTAGTTGCTTCGTAAGTACCAGTGTGTACCAGACTTGACTGAGTTATGTACTTTATATGATTATTTAGACACCACTGATAAACGGTGAAGGAAAAACATCGTGAGAAAACCTGGAATTTTAATTTCAAATTATAAGTTTGAAATCGCCAATCCATCTTGAGCAAGCATGGCCTTCTCCGTATGGAAAGAGGTTTTTGCAACAATGGGCACTTATAGGCTGTATGTGTGTGTATGATGTATGGTACGGATTATAATATATACCTATATTTGACGCAAAAAATATGCCATCTAAATTCGACTTCTTCGCTTTCTATGACAACTAGCCAAATAGAAAAACATTGTGATATTCAATTCGACTATTTGTCCAAGAAATATAGGCATATAAAAAAATCGTACGTTTGTATTCATAAGCTTACCATATCTATTACATCCAACTGGGAACGGCCAGCCTTTTGAAATTGTGAGCAAACACGAGCTCAGCTCAAAGGCTTTACTCTGCATACACTGCGTCGAGCGCTGGTTCTTTATTACACACATAAGCTTATTGAACGAAGACTTTACCCTGATGTAAATAAAATTAAAAATTCAATACGTAATTTAATCATTCTTTTAAGATATTTGCTCGAAAAATAATGTGAATTTAAATATAGAGATATATTTCGTTTCGAATATACTATCACAAACTTACTATAAAAGCCTTTTAAGCGTCTAACCGCTATCAAACCGCTTGTTTGAAGTTTAAACTCCGTCCCACTGAACGGTTGACGTTGGTCCCTTTTGGGCGCCAACAAGTTCATAATTGGTCCTAGCGGTGTAGTTCCGGACCGGAAGGGGAGCATGATGACAAAACTTGTTAATGTAACTTTAAATGTCTTGTTGAGGTAAAAATATCTCATTTAGATAATCGAATATACCTAGTAATTCGGTTATCATACTTTATAATGTAATGTAATGTATCACGTAGTTTGTTTCATTATTACATTCATACGTCTTGCCATAAATGTTTAAGCGTAGAGCCTTCTGCTGTTTCTCAATTAATGATTAATGATAAGATATAATTTAGTGCGACTACTACCGCTGAATTCAATTGCTTAGACGGCACATGTTGACTTGACACTTTAAAGTTCGCAGTTTCTAAAACATGTGAACTATAAATCTAAAAACTATCAAACATTTTATCGCTTTATAGGAACTTGCACGGAACATAAAGTAAGGATCTGTAGCAAGGATAAATCACAGCCATTTGGTCCAAGGATACGACACGTCAACAATCATTTACGTCCGCAATAAAACGTCTATAAGTGTTTCATACACTTTATTGCTTCACGGATATTATTCTCCATAAAATCTCAAACAACCACGTTTATAACGACGAAACGAGCGGCTCCCCGGCACGGCGGGGCGCCTGTAGACTATACGAGGCACTGAGAGACAGGAATCACAGATTGACAGAGCTTAGAAGATAGACGGACATCAATAGAGGAAGCTGGAGGGGGGAGGGCGAGGAGAGGGCGCGGGTCGAGCGAGGCGGGGGTGGAAAGCTCCCAGAGCCGCTTCGTTGGTCGACGAGGGACGCTCCTCTCGCACGCGCAGCTGTGGCAGCCGCCACGCCGCGCACGCCGACGTCAGCGCGTGCCGGTTCAGCACCCAGTACGCCACCGCGTTTAGTGCTGAGTGCGCGTACCCCAGCAGGAGAGCGAAGTGCGCCAGTAGGAATGGCACATGCAAACCAAACGCACTGGCTATCACTATGGCAGCGTGCGGACACCAGCACATAGCAAATATCGCCGCGATCCCCATGAGCACGTTGCCAAGCCGCCGCCGGGAGCGGAGTGTCGAAGTTTGAGGTTGTGGTCCAAGGAGGCTCGGTTGGAGTTTCTTCTTGGATCTGACGTCACCAACGTCGACGGCGTCACGACGTTCCCTTGGTCCTACGCCGGCGACGATGATGACATGTGTGGGTCTTCTCATTAGAGGCACGGGGAGTGGTAGCTCGCCGTGTGCTGCTCTAGCGGTTAGTGACAGTGCGGTCAGTTTGACCCTCACTGCCCAGTGACACTTGGCGACGGCCAGCACTGGGAAGCAATATGTGACGAGTGCATGCGCCGCGGCCAGTGGCGGACATGACACGCACGTCGTTGTGAATGCTGCTGCACCTGGCGAGAAAGAATATTACAATAATTAATGTGGGAAAAACTAATTCAATGCAAAAAGACAAAAGTTTTACATGAACCATTATGAACTTCATCTTTTCCAGTTGATTAATGAAGATGAAACGGATGAAGACATAAAAAGGATTGTATGTAAGACCTGCGTTCATGAAATTCAAATAAAGACAGTAAAACAGACAGTAAAAATATTTACTACTACATAGATTACAACAGCCCTTTTCGTTCAGCTACGGAACCCATTTTGGGTGCAGTAATGTACACATTTACTGAGACCGGGTCATATTACTTTTTTATTGTTGTTTACATGGTTCTATTAATAGCTCTTTTTTAACGGTTTGATAGAGGATGGTGTATGCATGCTGGATTGTCGTAAAATTATACTTTAACTAGAAACTACTGAACTGTTGCTAGAAATTAATTGTCATTTTGCCATTGTCTGATTTGTCTTCATTTCTTAAATGCCATTTTCAAAATTTAAAACTCATTCAGATACATCCGAACCAAGAAGATAACAGCGATATTATGGAATTCAATTCTCATAGCATCAAACGCGGCGTGTTGGTGCGTCATACAATGCTCACAATGTTCATATTTTAGTTTTTGCGTAGTAGATGACGCGGTCTCTTACTGCAATGTTTTTTTTATACAATAGGACGCAAACAAGCACACGGATCACCTGATGGTAAGTGATCGGCGCCACCCATGGTCACCTGCAGCAGCAAAGGAGCCACAAGTGGCTGGTCTTTTATGAAGTACTCCTTGGCTTGTTTCTTGAATGTTTTTTTTTTTTGATAAAAACATTGCCCCACCCTAGGATTTTCTCCTATGCGTGGTGGGTGTCGGTGTCGTGGGTGCGTTTACAAACATACAATTTTGTTGTTCCGTGCGGAAATCGAACCCGCGACACGTCGCGCGGCAGCCAGTTGCCCAGTCACCGCGCCAACCGTGCAGTCTAGTCGATCATATCAGTTTGAAGGTCGAATCGGTTCAGGAACTCCGCCGTCGCGTCGGAAGATTATTCCAAATGTACGATAAACTGTTTAAGTAAGTGACTTACTAAGCAAAAGCGCCATGATCCACACGGCGATAACGGCAAGATGCGGCCGCGCACATAGTGACGTGCCGCCTCTCCTCACCGCCCCACACCGGTCAGCTGCTATCGCCACTAAAGATAATGTGCTTGCGGCCACGGGGAATGACTGTGGACAAACGTATTACAGGTTAAGTTTATGGTAAAATGTAATGTGGTTGTTATTACACATGGAATTAAGATAGTTAATTGCTTGGAATGGGATTGAGCGGCAAAGAGGCACAGATCATCTGGTGGTAAACCATAGGCCTCGCCCATGGACATCAAGCACTAGAGGAGTTGTTATGCGTTGCCGGCTTTCTAAGATTATTGATTTTAGGATTGGAAAGTTGGAGGATTAGGACGAGGGGGTTCCTGGGATTTGAAGAGGGATCGATGACTTGGGAAGTATTGGTCCCCAAAGCTGTGCGGTGTTTCATTGTATTTTTTTTTATTTTCATCAATTTGATTTCGAAGAGGCATTACTGTAGTTGAATTCAGTGTCGTTGATTTTTTAAATGACATCTGTTAGTTTCTAAGTACTAAAGACATGAAACAAATAGTAACAAAATTACAAGCTTCTCCCCTCAGTACAAGAGTTTTGAATAATACAAATACTAACGTCTTGTAGATAACCCATTATCAATATATATAAAAAAAAGGCGTGTTAGTTATTTCACTTATAACTCAAGAACGGCCGAACCGATTTCGCTGAAAATTGGCAGCAGGAAGGTAGTTTAGAGCCAGGAGAAGGACATAAAACAGGATAGAGTAGGGTAGGTAGAGTAGGGTAGGTAGAGTTGGGTAGGTAGAGTAGGGTAGGTACAGTAGGGTATGTAGAGTAGAGTAGGTAGAGCAAGGTAGGTAGAGTAGGGTAGGTAGAGTAGGTCAGGTAGAGTAGGGTAGGTAGAGTAGGGTTGGCAGAGTAGGGTAGGGTAGGTAGTCAAATGACGGGAGCGACGCCGCGGGTAACAGCTAGTTGATGATTATAAGAACATTCATTATAACACACCTCAATATAATAAGTAACTTGACAGGGCAGCTCATCTATCCTGGCAGCGCGGGTTGCGGCCAGGGGTGCGCTCGCGGCGCACACTAGGAAGTCGGCCGCGCATGCGCTCAACATCTGAGGAGTTCGCAGTCTTGACGCCCCTCCCGACGCAAGCGCAGCCATTAAGCTCAAATTTCCTGTATAAATAGATGTGAAATTAATCCTTATTCAAATTGATTTAAAAAAAACTCGGTTGGCTCAGTTGCTCAACAGCGTTTCCCGAGTTTGTTTATCGTGTCAAAATAATTTGTGTTTGCCACAAATGATTTGTTCTAGACTCAAGGTTTATTTATGTCGATTTGTATGATTGTAAAAGCACTCAACCACATGGGACAAAAATCCTAGTGCAGAGAAACTTTTTTTTAAATTTCTAGATGAATCTAGAAATAATTAAAAATACATTCTCATTTTTAGGTAATTTATAAAACTTGAGGTTTCTGTGGTTTAAAAACAAAAGCATAAAAGCAGTAAAACGGAATAAAATACCAATGAATAGGAGTTTTCTATATTTTAATAAAAAAAACCTGGCATTTTGCTATTCAAAAATCTTTCTTTGACGTTTAAAATCAAAGAACATTTTAAATAGAATTTATATTTTTCTTTGATGGAGAATGCATTAAAATATTAAACTGTTAGATAGCAAAAGAGAAATGGTACAAACAGATGACCATACTATCTGATCCCGAGAACTCGCAGAATCTAATTGCACAGCTTATGCAAGTAGAATTTCGGAGTAGTTTAATAATGAAATTCATGGCCGTACAACTACTGTCTCATTAAGATAAGATTAGATGAATTTTCGTTTTGTGTGAAACTTTGTCTGAATTAGAAATTTCTTTATTGAATTTGTTAAAACGGGACGAGTAATCAGTCGGCTGCAAGACGTTGGGTGTTTGTATTAAGCTGCATGCTCAATGCTACTTTTCCGTTAGATGACGTTTAAGTCAGTATTTTCGGATTCTGCTCATGGATGAGAGTCTTGAATGAATAAAAATAATAAAAGTTAATGTCTATAAAACATCACGCTACGACTAAATGGATCCGAGCAGCGGGTGAAAGCGCGCGAGAGTAGCTAGTTTTCAATAAATTTATTATGTCCTACGATAGTTATTTAAAAACAGTAATTCCTTACTAATATTCTTTTGTAACATAATCCTATCTGATTTCTCTGAAAAGAAATGCTGAAACAAATTCAGAGGTCCGATTCTTTCAAAGTCCAGACAAAGTTAAGAAAGTAAAAATATATAATATAGTACTTGGTCACGGCATCACATAAAACCTATGTGAAACAATTCCTTATATAACCAATACCTATTTTACTATTTAAAAATCCTACTAAAAGATTTATCCAAAAGGATGGTAACGTACTTGAAAATTTGTTGTGGTTCTTTTATGTTTAAGTATTAATTAATGCTTTAATGTACACAACATGGCATGCAGTAAGTACAAAAGGCCGACTTTATGCCATATGGCATTCTCTACCAATCAACCTTGGGCTTAAATAGAAAAATCAGCGAAAAATAGATACGGGAAATATGTTACAATTCGATAATGTTATCTATGATAAACATTTTTGTTTTCAGTTCCTGTGTAGTGGGTGAAAAAAACATACCTATAATACCTATGATGGACACGAGCACGTAGAGAGCGACGAGTGCCGCGAGGGTCGTCTCCTCCGCCGCGTCGCGCTCCGCATCGCTCGAGTTACTGTACATCACGCAGCATGGCTAGCCTCTGCAACAAACAGACAACAACATGATTGTTTATGTAACAAATGATATGAGTTGGGCGATGTTCTCACAAATTATTGTGAGCAACAAATTATTTTTTTGTGGGTACCAACCATTAAATTTTTTTTCCCGCATACTGTGCTCGGAGGGTGGTGTCCGACTCTTACTGTCTAAAAACCACCCGGTTCATTATTGCTTATGCATCCACAACCTTGAGTGCCATCATCATCATCAACATCAGCCTATAAGTGCCCACTGCTGCACGTCGATTCTATAAAATTCTAACACGAACTCGCATGTCAAGTCGATATTCTCTCTCACTACGCATAAGGTTCAAAATGGCGTTGATTTTGCATTCTGTAAGCATCACCTAGGCACTTGCGAAGTGAAGTGAAGAGAACTGGTACTAGTGTGGTACCATACTCCACATAATGTAAGTCGAGATTTATCGGTTTTTATTTTAACAAGTTTTTGACACAGAATTTTAGATATTATGACGTATAAATTGAAATTTCTTATTTTAAGGAAATTAAGGCAGCTAATTATTACAAAATAAACAGAAAACTGTAAATTCAGGCGATGAATATAATCTGTGCTACGTTTACCAAAAAGAAACTGACAGATAATGTCTTCATTCATTGTTGACAAACTCTTTGTCATTTGCTGTGTATTATTTTGTCCACGTTTGGTTTATTCGTATATTTTTTCGTTTCGTGCTTGCCGATAAAAAGAGACATCATAATAATCATGAAGTAAGTTTTATTACTGGTTGTAAAGTTCAAAAATAATATTTATTAAAGAGTGTTTTTTTGTTTTCTAATCAAACAATAATGTTTCAGTCCAAATGAGATACGTTCCTCACACCCGTCGTCATCTCAGGTTGTAACCTGGCTGGCGAAGGGTTTCTTGAGAACTCAAGGTGCCAGAGAGCGAAAGCGACGCTAGTGGAAGGAACTAGCCGTGTGCCTGAATAGTATAGGTGGCACTTTCAAAACTTATAAACAGAGGACCAAGGTGAAGTAAGTAGTGCTTACTTTGGCATGTTAAAACCATTTAATATTCCTTAATGCAAGCCACTTAAAATAGCGATGAATCTTGGCGTGCTCCTTGGTTATATAACTTATCTTATTTTAATTTTACATTGACTATTAATAATAATAAAAAGTAAGGCTTTTTTAATAACTTCTTTATTAATATAAATGTCTGCTTGTAGTATTGGTCTGAGAAAAAAGCGCCATAAGAAGCTCAGCAGCTAGGCGCAGGACAGGACTGGTGTGGTGGAAGATGAAGTTGAGCTATCAGAGGTTGAAGAAAGAACTTAATTTTTGGAACAAACGACAGCGAAAAGCTGCAATTTGTTAAAGAGATTTTATCAATGCACATAGTAATCGGTGTTCTCTTTTCAGCATCCCGTCACACAACATCACAACGGCGAATAGAATTCTTCAACATCACAGAGAGATTCCTGAGTGTGGAAGAGTAGACGATTTCAAATCAATTGGAAGAATTTACAAAAATCAAATGCACAGATCTTGCAAGCATTTCTGAAGAGAAGTCTAGGGAATGATTAAATTTTAGCTGGATCTGTAGTTTCAATCGGGAATGGATTATGAGCATTGGCAGAGGCCATGGCATCAAGATAGGGTGTAACAACGAAGTTGTGTTTTAGTTTTTAAGAAGGTTTCAACCAACTTTTTTATTATATTTAAATTAAAGAATTTTAACGAGTACTAGCAGTTTTATTAGTTAAAGACCCATTCTCACATATCACTGACTATTTATTTATTTGACTTTAACTCAAATGTACATTCAAACAATTATGGGTTACAATAAATCAACTAGGGCCTAACAATTAGGCTCGTAAGGCTAAATTAAAAGGAAAAATTGTAATAAATGGAAAAAGTAAAATCATACAAAACCCTAATTGACTTAAAATCAAAATAAAATAAAATCATAATCATATTTTTTTGTCAGGGGAAAATCATCATGACTTCTCCTGCTATAGGCCCGCCCAGGGTAAGGCGAGATAGTGTCAGACTCTTACTGACTAAACCACCGTTCCTTCTCCTGCTTTAGGCCGTGACCGTGGCACTTCATTGCGCTTGCCCCTCCACCGTGGCTGAACATCAGCCCTGTAGGGCTCCGTCTGTGGCTCTTTGAGGCACTATATTTTGCCTACGTCCTAGATTTAAACCTGTATTAGATGACAAATTCCTAGTTTGCCTCCTTTGAACTTCAGCAATTGTACATAATTTCGTCTCTAATTGTCCTCTCTTCTGAATTGCGAGCAGTAATATGTATGTTATTTTAAAATGCTTCTGGGGAATTGTCTTCAACACCACTAATGATGTCATAAGGTCGTCGTACGTCGAGCAAATCCTGAATCACCTGAAAAAAAATCTAATGACTATCTAGTACTTATACCATTTTAAGTGTGCGAAAGCCATGTTTCGGCACGAATGGCTCGGTCCACTGGAGAGATACCACGGCCTTACAGAAAACTGGCGTGAAACAACCACAGCGTTGTGTTTCACCGTGTGAATGTGTGTCAAAATCTCCAAATCCATAATCCCCAAAAGGTCGGCAACGCACTCGTAACCCCTCTGTTGTTGCGGTTATCCATTGGCGGCGCTGAATCTTTTCCATCAGGTAATCCGTTTGCTTGTTTGCCGACCAATCACATATAAATTAAACCTAGTAATTAGACTTATATATTCTGAAGTAGGGGTATAACATGGTAATATATGTTGTGAACTAAACTATTATATTATTATACAGATATATGTATATATTTGAAAGTCCAAAGCCCTTTGCCTCGCCGTTTTGTGGGTTTTATCAAAGGGAGTAACTCATACTCCAGTTGGTCAATCAGCTCCATTGCAGATACACGCTCACATAGTCGTCATCTCAGGTTAATAAAGACAAACTTCGAATGGTGCTAGATTGTCGACGCATTTCTTGTTTATCTAAAGCTTCTTCTAACAAAGATTTTACCAAAATCATTCTTGCCATTGTTATCGTTTTAATAGGTAAGCACTTATTCACTTTGTTACTTTCAAAACTTAATTTGAACACTATCTAACTATTATTTCTTCAATTTTCACTCGTAAAATAGATACTTTTAATTTGAAATTTTGAATCTTGTTCTAGTTCGAAGTGAGCGTCGAAGTGACAGGTAAATTACATTATAGAATACGATTTTCAACTTTATCTCATACTTTATCTGTCAAAATGTTGCGGTCAATTTAGTTCAACTCGTAAACACACTCGCAAGTGTAGCGCTAGCATAGATTCGAGTTAGGAATCGAGTTTTAGAATGCCAATCAAGAAACTCACCGCGGATTCAGATTCGAAGTTTAGAATGAAGTCTTACAGAATCACACCCCTGAGCAAAGGCCTCTTCTAAAACGGAGAAGGCTTGAGCTTTATCACCACGCTTGCTCAATGCGGGTTGGCTATTCCAAACTTGTTTCCTCACGATGTTTACGTATGTCAGTGGTACATATAACTCGGACAAAGTCACATTGGTGCTTGCCAGATTTTGAACCCAGACCCTCATGCATGAGAAACGGGCTCCTTAACCTCCAGGCCACCACGACACCTTGAGTGTCAGAATCCAAAATTCCAGTGTGAGGTAACTCGCTTTTTGAGAATATTGAAAAGCTAGGTATATTATTAAATATTGAGTAAGCTACTCCTCCAAGTAGGTTGGAAGGATGAATCTGACATCACGCTGTTAGGTATCACGGTTTGTCGTCAACCGAAATCGCAGTCAGTCCTTTGGCATTTGAAGACATACATTCTGTTACTACTATTGGAATCCCAACACTACAGTGACTAACTAACAGAATTGTGTGTTCACTCGATCGAATCTAGCATGCTTTTAGCTACAACTAGGGTTGCGCCACATTATGACAACAATTAATTTATATAGGTACGTTTGCAGCTAGCGGACTTCCTATATTACAAGATCAACGCACACTTTCTTCAAAATATCAACTTGTTAGTCTAGATAAAGAAAAAGTTATGCTAGTAATACTAAAAAAGGCACTTTGTCAGCAAGGAAATGTTATTAAATATTTTATGTGGGTCACAACAGATGTGATACATTTTGCTGTCATCCATACTAGAATATTTTGTCAGCTTTTTCTAGACGTGTGATACGAACGATCCGATAAATTGCTATTGATGTTTTGTAAGTTCTTCTACCGCTTTTGAGACAAAATATTACAATACACCAATTTATTATTCTAAAATTTCTCTTTATGTATCATATATATTTATACCTACTAGCTCTTACCCGCGGCGGCGCTCCCGTCATTTGACTACCTACCCTACTTTACCTACCTTACCCTACCTACTCTACTCTACCTATCCTACTCTACCTACCCTACTCTACCTACCCTACTCTACCTACCTACCCTACTCTACCTACCCTACTCTGCCTACCCTACCCAGCAATCCTACTCTACCTACCCTAGTCTACCTACCCTACTCTACCTACCCTACACTACCTACCCTACTCTATCTACTCTACTCTACCTACCCTACACTACCTACCCTACTCTACCTAACCTACACTACCTAACCTACTCTATCCTATCCTATGTCTTTCTCCTGGCTCTAAACTACCTTGCCAAGTTTCAGTTAAATGGGTTCTGCCGTTCTTGAGTTATAAGTGAAGTAACTAACACGACTTTCTTTTATATATATAGATGATATAAATTAAATTTTTAAACATTTCTTAAAAATATAAAATAAAAAATTGAATTTGAAAATATAAAAAGTGTCCCATCTATATCGGGAATAGGGTCCTAGCTAACGGCGGTCAGGGATCCTGAGAAAAAAACCTCCTAACTATACAGGCCGTGTCCAGTAGTACCACTTCCTGAAATAAGCCCTTGATCCAGCCACCTAACGAGAGCCTCCTAAGGTTTTGGTCGAGGCCCTTCGTTATTAAGCCATTGGCTAATACGACTATCGGT